AATCGTAACTCCATTAATAATAACTCAATCGCTTTTAGTTTCAAATATTTTTAACATTGAATCATTAGGAGAAAGTCCTCATAATTTCAACTCTGCACTCATTTCAGTTTTTGAGTGAAAAAATTGTTTGTAGAGTCCTACTTTACAAAACATCACTATTTTTAAAAAATCGTAACTTCATTAATAATAACTCAATCGCTTTGAGTTTTTAGTATTTTTAACGTTGAATCATTAGGAAAAAGTCCTCAAAATTTTAACTCTGCACTCACTTCAGTTTTTGAGTGAAAAAATTGTTTGTAGAGTCTTACTTTACAAAACATCATTATTTTCAAAAAATCGCAACTCCATTAATAATAACTCAATTGCTTTGAGTTTTTAGTATTTTTTACATTGAATCATTAGGAAAAAGTCCTCAAAATTTCAACTTTCCACTCACTTTAGTTTTTGAGTGAAAAAATTGTTTATAAAGTCTTACTTTACAAAACATCATTATTTTCAAAAAATCGTAACTCCATTAATAATAACTCAATCGCTTTGAGTTTTTAGTATTTTTTACATTGAATCATTAGGAAAAAGTTCTCAAACTTTCAACTTTCCACTCACTTTAGTTTTTAAGTGAAAAAATTGTTTGTAGAGTCTTACTTTACAAAACATCATTATTTTCAAAAAATCGTAACTCCATTAGTAATAACTCAATCGCTTTGAGTTTTTAGTATTTTTTTACATTGAATCATTAGAAAAAAGTTCTCAAAATTTCAACCTTCCACTCACTGTAGTTTTTGAGTGAAAAAATTGTTTGTAAAATCTTACTTTACAAAACATCATTATTTTCAAAAAATCGTAACTCCATTAGTAATAACTCAATCGCTTTGAGTTTTTAGTATTTTTTACATTGAATCATTAGAAAAAAGTTCTCAAAATTTCAACTTTCCACTCACTTTAGTTTTTGAGTGAAAAAATTGTTTGTAAAATCTTACTTTACAAAACATCATTATTTCCAAAAAATCGTAACTCCATTAAAAATAAGTCAATCGCTTTGAGTTTTCAGTATTTTTTACATTGAATCATTATAAAAAAGTACTCAAAATTTCAACTTTCCACTCGCTCTATTTTTGAGTGAAAAAATTGTTTATAAAGTCTTACTTTACAAAACATCATTATTTTCAAAAAATCGCAACTCCCTTAGTAATAACTCAATCGCTTTGAGTTTTTAGTATTTTTAACATTGAATCATTAGGAGAAAGTCCTCAAAATGTCAACTCTGCACTCACTTCAGTTTTTGAGTGAAAAAATTGTTTGTAGAGTCTTACTTTACAAAACATCATTATTTTCAAAAAATCGTAACTCCAAGAATAATAACTCAATCGCTTTGAGTTTTTGGTATTTTTAACATTGAATCATTAGGAAAAAGTTTTCAAAATTTCAACTTTCCCCTCACTTTAGTTTTTGAGTGAAAAAATTGTTTGTAAAGTCTTACTTTACAAAACATCATTATTTTCAAAAAATCGTAACTCCATTAATAATAACTCAATCACTTCGAGTTTTTAGTATTTTTAACATTGAATCATTAGGAAAAAGTCCTGAAAATTTCAACTCTGCACTCACTTTAGTTTTTGAGTGAAAAAATTGTTTGTAGAGTCTTACTTTACAAAACAGCATTATTTTCAAAAAATCGTAACTCCATTAATAATAACTCAATCGCTTTGAGTTTTAAGTATTTTTTACATTGAATCATTAGGAAAAAATCCTCAAAATTTCAACTTTCCACTCACTTTAGTTTTTGAGTGAAGAAATTGTTTGTGAAGTCTTAGTTTACAAGACATCATTATTTTCAAAAAATCGTAACTCCATTAATAATAACTCAATCGCCTTGAGTTTTAAGTATTTTTTACATTGAATAATTAGGAAAAAATCCTCAAAATTTCAACTTTCCACTCATTTCAGTTTTTGAGTGAAAAAATTGTTTGTAAAGTCTTACTTTACAAAACATCACTATTTTCAAAAAATTGTAACTTCATTAATAATAACTCAATCGCTTTGAGTTTTTAGTATTTTTAACGTTGAATCATTAGGAAAAAATCCTCAAAATTTCAACTTTCCACTCACTTTAGTTTTTGAGTGAAAAAATTGTTTGTGAAGTCTTAGTTTACAAGACATCATTATTTTCAAAAAATCGTAACTCCATTAATAATAACTCAATCGCCTTGAGTTTTAAGTATTTTTTACATTGAATCATTAGGAAAAAATCCTCAAAATTTCAACTTTCCACTCATTTCAGTTTTTGAGTGAAAAAATTGTTTGTAAAGTCTTACTTTACAAAACATCACTATTTTCAAAAAATCGTAACTTCATTAATAATAACTCAATCGCTTTGAGTTTTTAGTATTTTTAACGTTGAATCATTAGGAAAAAGTCCTCAAAATTTCAACTCTGCACTCACTTCAGTTTTTGAGTGAAAAAATTGTTTGTAGAGTCTTACTTTACAAAACATCATTATTTTCAAAAAATCGTAACTCCATTAATAATAACTCAATTGCTTTGAGTTTTTAGTATTTTTTACATTGAATCATTAGGAAAAAGTCCTCAAAATTTCAACTTTCCACTCACTTTAGTTTTTGAGTGAAAAAATTGTTTGTAGAGTCTTACTTTACAAAACATCATTATTTTCAAAAAATCGTAACTCCATTATTAATAACTTAATCGCTTTGAGTTTTTAGTATTTTTAATATTGAATCATATAAGGAAAAAGTCCTCAAAATTTCAACTCTGCACTCATTCCAGTTTTTGAGTGTAAAAATTGTTTGTAGAGTCTTACTTTACAAAACATCATTATTTTCAAAAAATCGCAACTCCATTAATAATAACTCAATTGCTTTGAGTTTTTAGTATTTTTTACATTGAATCATTAGGAAAAAGTCCTCAAAATTTCAACTTTCCACTCACTTTAGTTTTTGAGTGAAAAAATTGTTTATAAAGTCTTACTTTACAAAACATCATTATTTTCAAAAAATCGTAACTCCATTAATAATGACTCAATCGTTTTGAGTTTTTAGTATTTATTACATTGAATTATTAGAAAAAAGTTCTTAAAATTTCAACTTTCCACTCACTTTAGTTTTTGAGTGAAAAAATTGTTTGTAAAGTCTTACTTTACAAAACATCATTATTTTCAAAAAATCGTAACTCCATTAATAATAACTCAATCGCTTTGAGTTTTTAGTATTTTTTACATTGAATCATTAGGAAAAAATCCTCAAAATTTCAACTTTCCACTCACTTTAGTTTTTGAGTGAAAAAATTGTTTGTGAAGTCTTACTTTACAAGACATAATTATTTTCAAAAAATCGTAACTCCATTAATAATAACTCAATCGCTTCGAGTTTTTAGTATTTTCTACATTGAATCATTAGGAAGAAGTCCTCAAAATTTCAACTTTCCACTCACTTTAGTTTTTGAGTGAAAAAATTGTTTGTGAAGTCTTAGTTTACAAGACATCATTATTTTCAAAAAATCGTAACTCCATCAATAATAACTCAATCGCTTCGAGTTTTTGGTATTTTTTACATTGAATCATTAGGAAGAAGTCCTCAAAATTTCCACTTTCCACTCACTTTAGTTTTTGAGTGAAAAAATTGTTTGTAGAGTCTTACTTTACAAAACAGCATTATTTTCAAAAAATCGTAACTCCATTAATAATAACTCAATCGCTTTGAGTTTTAAGTATTTTTTACATTGAATCATTAGGAAAAAATCCTCAAAATTTCAACTTTCCACTCACTTTAGTTTTTGAGTGAAAACATTGTTTGTGAAGTCTTAGTTTACAAGACATCATTATTTTCAAAAAATCGTAACTCCATTATTAATAACTTAATCGCTTCGAGTTTTTAGTATTTTTAACATTGAATCATTAGGAAAAAGTCCTCAAAATTTCAACTCTGCACTCATTCCAGTTTTTGAGTGTAAAAATTGTTTGTAGACTCTTACTTTACTATTGAATGAAAAAGAAAGTTTCTATACAAAAGTTGAGAGGTCCATGGTTTCATCCTTCAGAGTTAGCGGATAAAACATTGTTTTAACAAATTGCATATTTCATACATATTGACTATGGCATCATAGAAAATCCAAAATTTCACCCAAAAAAATCACTTCTCCTACGAAGGCGTAGAAGGGACATTTATTAAATTTTTATTTGCTGGTAGTGATGCACAATTAATTCCGTGTTAACTAACTCGGAATTATCCCCTCCTATTTAATTCCGTGTTAACTAAACCGGAATTAATCCCCTTCTATTTAATTCCGTCTTAACTAACTCGGAATCAATTTCCTCTTAGTTAATTTCGTGTTAAGTAACAGGGAATTAATCTGCTCTTATTTAATTTCGTGTTAGGTAACTGGGAATTAATCCCCTCTTATTTAATTCCGACTTATTTAATTCCGAGTTAATTAACACGGAATTAAATAAGAGCAGATTAATTGCCAGTTACTTAACACGAAATTAACTAAGAGGAAATTGATTCCGAGTTAGTTAATACGGAATTAAATAGGAGGGGATTAATTCCGAGTTAGTTAACACGGAATTAAATAGGAGGGGAATAATTCCGAGTTAGTTAACACAGAATTAATTATGCATCTCTACCAGCAAATAAAAATTTAATAAATGTCCCTTCTACGCCTTCGTACTTCTCCTGCATAATATAATGTAGCTTTAGTATAGTAAGTACTTGTAAAGCAAATATGTATGGTAACAACTATAAAAATCACCCTTACACCATAAATTGCCTTTAATTACCTACTTATAGTTTTCGCTTGTACCTACCTATTACACCCATTTTAAATAAAAATTAAGCACACTTAAGTTCTTAAAATAGTCCTAAAACTATTTTTATAACATAAAGAAAAAACATTTAGGTCAAAATTGTGTCTCTCATCCATCTACTTTTAAGTCATTCTCTGAAAGCCTTATTTGTAAATATTCCTCAAATGTATTTTCTCTATTCCAGATATCCCTTGTAAAATTGGCTGGAGATTTAGAGCTCAGAAATGAAACTGTCAGCGAAGTACAAAAATATTGCTCAGAACAATTGGTAAGTATCAAACTTAAAACTCTCTTAAGTGGCATATGAACACTGAAAAAAAGGATAGAAAGCAAGCACACTCGTAAAAGGTCGTTCGGCCTAATAAATCTAACACTTAAACCTATCAAACTGAAACGATGCCTGAAAACCGACCAGATTTAGGTTCGGTTGACGAAAACAATTTGCCAGATGCGACAGAAGTGTTTTTGAAAAATTATGTTTTTTCAAGTGGGAAATTTTAATTCTTTAGAAAAATTATCTCGTAACTTTTGCTTCATCGCTATCGCTTAGATCTTTGGGGCTTTCAAAACTACAAGAAGCCCGTGATAATAAATGATCCTCCCAGGCCAAAAGAATGAGGCTTCATTCTTTATATTAATATCTCGAAATGACATCTGTGTTGTCTTTTTCTGAATAAATAATTAACAATTTTCTCCTTTCACAGGTAGCTTTTTGGGAATGTCTTAACGCCACAATAAATGGTAAGTAGGTATACTTTTTCTTGTTGCTCTTCTACAACACATAAATTTCTTTATCTGGTCAAACGAAAGATGCAAAGAGAACGAAAAGGCCAATAACACAAGCCACCAAAGCACCAATTAAAAGGTGCGCTTATGCTCTTTTTGTCTCATTAAAAGTGTGTATGTGGTCTCTTATCTTTTGTGTTATTTATTTTTGCATGAAGAGAGAGAATTTGTAGTTTAGTTCACGCCCTGTATAATCAACAGAGTCCGCGCTTGTTATTCAAAACGAGAAGGACAAAATGACAAATCAAGAATACTAAAGTGTGTGTGTGTGTGTGTGGAGGCCATTGTCTCTCATTTTCCAATTTGAAATTTAAATTACCTATTTGAAACAAATATTTATTATTGATTATTTGACTGCGAGATTGAATTTATTTGTATCTACATAAATTTAGCTTTGCGTTGGCTGAATTGTACTTTTTAAAGTGAGTATATTGTTTTTTTCTCCTAGATATGTCCAGAGGTGATTCTTGGCCAGGAAGAAGTTGTTGTCCGATTCCGCACAGCGAAAGTTGTCGAAGAGCTTGCGTAACTGCCACGTCCACAAGCGATTTAACAAGAAGTTGTCGGCCTAGTGACGAAATACCGTTTTTCTCTTGTATAGATAAGCAACAAATCGGTGAAGACTGTTGCAGTAATGGTAAAAGTCCAGAATGTGTGGAAGCATGTCGGTGAGAATCTGATTTTTTGCTGTTGTTGTGGCTCAATTCAAATGTTCTGTTTTCCAGTGATATTTTTCGTAGTCAGCTAACCCCAACCAAATACCAAAGACAAAGACTGAAAGAGGAATGCGAATTGAGCAGTCCTAAAGTTACCGAGTGCGTTAAGGATATTGTTAAGGTTACACCAGCCAAAGATGCTTTAAAACGTAAAGATACGCAGTGTACGATTCAATCAAAAAACTAAATGTTTATTATTATAGAAATCCATTGCTGTGATAAATCCAACAACATAAAATGTAGAGAAACTTGTCATGAAATACTACCAAAAGCAAGCACCATTCAAGAAATTATCGATGCCCTACAATTAGGAGGATGTGGATTACTTTTACCACAAGTAAATTCAACTTACCACAATCATCAACTTATAAAAATTGATTTTTATTGCAGGACAAATTCTGGCAATGTTTCTTCTACAGCCCAAAAGACGGGGTGAGTAGCGGCGGCAGCTCCACTGGCATATCCAGAATCGAACGAGTCGGCATGGACAGTGCCAAGTGGCACTGCTGCCAAACTGCTAATTCCACTCAATGTAATCGATTATGTTCGAAAACTTTCACCAAATCCTGGTCGACTTCATGGGACGATTTCCAGCGTAAATGTTTGAATAATGTTAATGAGGAGGCATTGAGGAATTGTATTGATGAAGGTGGGTTACTGATATAAAATGATCTCTTCTTGATTTGCAAAATATTGAATTTCTTTTCAGTCGACGAGCCATGTGAATTAGGATGCGACGGTTTATCTTTCTGTACAAATTTCAACAATCGTCCAACCGAACTGTTCAGATCCTGTACGTCACTGGCAGATGAAGCTGCAAGAAGTGAAGTAACCTTATGGCAAAGCCAAAAAAATTTAACTTTACCAGGACTATTGATTTTACCCCTGAAACCTGACGAAAAATGTTCAAATATTTGGAAAGCTGTGGCGTGTACTCTACAAATAAAACCGTGTTCCAGGCAATTGCACGCCAATCAAATTTGCCGTGATGTTTGTTTGGAGATTTTGTCCCAATGCGCTGACTGGTCAAGGATATCTCCAATCTATTCCGCTGATAGCATATGCAAATCCTTATCTCCTGATGATCCAAATATGTCTTGTATAAGAGTCATAGATTATCTTAGTCCTTCGCCTATCAAATACCCAAGAATAAGTGGTAAATATAGTTTTATTTGATTAAACCAAAATTACTGATAAATTCTAGGTCAAGTTTCCAGTCCTTGCAAAGGTAACCCGTGTGATACCAACGAAGTATGTATAATAAACAAGGAATGTAATCATGGTATTGGTTGCAAACCTTACATTTGCCAACCCGGTTGTAAACTAGGCGAAGTGTCTCAATACATGGTTCCAGACGGTACTCACGTTAAAATCCCAATTCCCAACAACGGGAAAGGTTGCCTGCAAATTTGCAAGTGCAAGAGAAACAGAATTGAAGAGTGTCAGCAGTTACTTTGCGTTTCTCTCACATCGTGTTTATTTGGAAGCAGTCAGCAGCTTCATGGATCTACGTTCAATATAGATTGTAACAGCTGCAGCTGCTATGCTGGCGAATTAATTTGTAGCAAAAAGCAATGCGAGAACAATTTGGTTGGTGGGAAAAATACTGCTTACACCACGTTACCTTGTAACTGTCCTCCACATTATGTACCAGTTTGTGGAAGGAATGGAATTACTTATCCTTCAGCTTGTTTAGCTAAGTAAGAATTTGCTACGTAAATAAACAGTGTTGAGATAATGATTTTTCTAGATGTTCTGGCTTAAATGATGCTGACATAGATATAATGCCTTGCCAGAATCCTTGCAAACCAAACATATGCCCTATAGGACAAAAGTGCGTTCCCAATTTGCAAACTTGTTTGTCTCTTATGCACAAACCATGCAAACAATATACTTGCAGTAAGTAATAACACACAAGTGATTTTGATTGGTACAAAACTTTTACTTTCAGTAAATGGTTCAACAGATTGCGGCACGCTTCCTTTGGACCCTGTTTGCGATGTGGATAATCAACAATACGATAATGATTGCTTTTTAGTTCATCATAATGCTAAATTGGCTTATAGAGGTCCTTGTTTAAAGCGGTGTAAAAATAAAGGACAGGTAATAATGATCACTCAAATATTTTAAAAAAATAACTGTTTTATTTTATTAGGTTTGTGGCATAAACGGTAAAACTTACAGTTCGGAGTGTGCTGCCGACGCTGACATGGTATCCGTAGACTATGAGGGACCGTGTATTTTGGTTGGATTGATTACAAATGCTAAATCCAGACAGTGTTCTAATGTTAAGTGTCCTCAACTACCAGAAACAACATGTTTAGGTAGGAATCTCCAAATACAATTGGAAGAAAATAAATTATTAGCCCTTTGACGTCTATTATTGGATTGCCTGTTCTTTCGTGAGAATCCTTTGGAGCTTGGCAGCTGCCTAGACTCATCTACGTTTCCGCAGAACGTCCTCCACGATTCTCTCTTGGACCTTCTTATAAGATCTTCGTATTGGCAATTTAGTAGAAGAACATGCATATTTGAATTCATTTTGAGTCTTTGTTTGTGCTTCTTCATTTCCAATGAGCTTTACTGTCTCTATAGACTGAATCACTAACATACATTTTCTTAGCAAAAAAATAAATTCTTCCTGGTATCCAAAAGTCTCAATTATGAAAATAATGTTTCTAGGTATTACTCCTCCTGGTTCCTGTTGTCCCCTTTGCGGAGGCTCTCTACGTTTGCTCTACAGCCGCAAGCAAATCGATAGAGCGCTCTACGCTCTACAAAACCACAGCACCGAAGCTGTCAACCTGAAATCCTTGCTCAAAGGTCTGGAGAGGCATATTCAAGTGGCCCAATGCACCGTTAGAGGCTACGTTACTGTAGAAACTGATATTTTTGTTACAGTTCAATCAACAGAAAAGTAATAATGATCGTATTAGTTGAATTTTTGTTTTTTCACAAAAAAATTTTGATTCCAGACATCCTTCTGCATTACAACTGGAAGCTTGCGTACGCGAAGCTGAAAAATTAGCAAGTTTGGTGAATATGAGAAGTCCTAGAATTGCTAGTGAACTCAGCCTTAGTTCTTTGACTTTGACTAGTGTAGTGCATACTCAAGCTACCACCAATGGGCCTGTTGGTAGTAGTTGGGATCCTGGAAAAATGTCTGGTAGTGCGACCTCAAATGAAACTAAAATATATTTTTACTTGGCTATTATTGTTAATTTGTTTATTTGATTTATTTTATATTTTGGGCTAATTTTTCAAATAACTGTGATATAGGTAGGCATATTAGTTTATCGACACAAACATACTGTTTTATATTTATATTCACAAGATTTCAATATTAACCAAAGAATTATTAAAAAGTTGAAGAGCTTTAAGATATTATGACAATAATTTTATGTTAGTTTTACGTTACCAAAATAGTTTTTGTTATCATTTTTTTACTGTAAATATTTTTATCATTGTTTAATGTTACTATTCGGGCATAGACATAATGTAATACCTAAGTTTGTAATAAATAAAAGTTTTATCTAAAAGAAAATTATACTTTAGTGTGTAAAATGGACATATCAGGCATCAGATTTTATTGGCATCACATCATCCTTGGAAATTTGGCAGGTTGACTGACTCACTGATGACAGTTTTCTGATAAGGAAGCAGCGTAAGTAAACAGCTGACTCCAGTACATCCAGTCAGCCATCTACCCTTCTTGAGGTCCTCGTCAACCTATCAGAACAAATACACAATATTAGTTATAACAAACAACTTGTGTCCTACGATTATCAAGCACTGTCTCAAATCAACTGAACGATTTTTTACATTGCTGGAAGCGTAATGCAGTACCTAATAAGCTTTTATCACACGCCTTTATTGGCTCTGAAACTACGTTTTCTGCTGGAAGAACGTGTTCTTCATGATTTATAAATGATATTGGTGAGATGCATCTCTTTTGGGGAACTTTTCTCACCATCCGTGCGCGCGTATTGTATTTCTCCGGAAAAATCTTCTCACTTGTTGAATCAACTTTTGATTCAAAGAGAACTTATCCCTCGGAAGAAACGTTTTCCTCCTCGAAAAGTAACCTTTTGAAAACTTTTCCTACATCGCATCGTTGGAAAGGTTTTCCATGGAAGAAACCTTATCTTCATTAACCCGTCGTTCTTGGGAATCTTTTCCTTTTGAAGATACGTTTTCTTCATGAACACTTTATTCTTATCGTTTCCCTGTGAAGATATTTTTTCTTCATGAACACGTTGTCCACAGGAAACGTTTTCCACATCCTCCGATTCGGAATCTTCTGTATCAGTGTCCAGTCTGATATTAAATGGCTTGAAACGATCTACAGTCAGAACATATTCCTCTGTATTTCCTTTGACATCTCTTTGAACCGGGCAAATATTCTACCACATATCGATCTCTGCCTAAATCAGCTGTGACAATGTAAGGTCCATCATACTTTGCTAATAGCTTTCTACTTTGCCGTTCATTTGATACTACATTTCATCTCATCTTGACTTGTTGGTTCTTCAATCTCTTTGCATCATATCTTTCATTTTGTTTTGCTTAATCTTGATCAAAAGCAGCTTTCGCTTGAACCCTCCGTTTCTCTAATTCATTTACTCTATCATCATTGGCTATTTCAGTTGTTAAAAATTAATCTACTTTATCCCTTGGTGGGTATCCAAACATTAATTCGTGAGGACTTTTTCCGTTAGTTTTCGGAAAAGTAGAATTTATTCCAAAATGTTTTCTTCTCAAAGTCTCGTCTCATTTCCGTTCATCATCTGTCATTGATCTTATTCCTGTTAGCAAAGTTCAATTATATTTTTCTACTTGCCCGTTCATACGAGGTGTTGTAACATTTTGAACTAATTTGATATTAAACTTAGTAGTGTATTCCTTAAAAGTTTTACTAGAATAGCAAGTTCCTTGATCACAAATTATTCGTCTTGATATTCCGAAGGTGTCACTTTATCTCTCCCATGAATTTTATCAAAGGACCCACTGGAACTGCTTTGGTGAACAAGTACTTCGTAGAAGAATCTACTGCCGCAATCATCAGGTATGAATTTCCTCTGCAACTTTTTACAAACGGACCTAAATGATCCAGATGTAATGTGTCCATTGGAGTAGCAATTTTCTCTATTGAATGCAGAATACTGGGACGTTTTCCTGATGGTTCCTTGTTATATGCACATATTGAAGAACTCTGTATATATCGTGAAACATATACTTGCGTATCCTGGGAAACCAGTAATTTTGAGAAATTGCAAAGTTTCCTCGAATGCAAAATGGCCAGCTGAGTCATGATAGTGAAACGTAATAGCTTTTCTTGCTCTTTTTGGTACCATCTTTTGTAATTTTAAAAATACGGTTGTCTTTTAGAACATATTCCTTGTGAATATTCTTCTCTTCTACATCCTTCAGGCATTCCGAAAGGACCTGATGCAGATATTTACAGCGATAATCCGACAATGGAGCAGACAGTATCCAATCAGACTCAGTAATATTTATAGCCAGAACATCAGTACCTTCTACAACAGCGTCAGGTTCATCAACAGGATGTTTGCTTAGGGCATCTACGTGTGCCATCCTAGAGCCAAGCCGATATTCAACAGAGAAATTGAATTTTAAAGTAATCAACCACCATCTAGCTATTTTTGGTATCAGATCTTTCTTACTAAAAGTGCTTCGTACTGAACTACAACCAGTGAGTACTTTAAACTGGATTCCTAGGAGGTAAACACGAAATTGCTGCATACAAACGACGGCGAATGTCTCTATAACACGTAGTGGTACCGCTGCTCTTTCCTTGCTTGTTTGACGAATATAGTACAACACAGGTTTCAATTTGCCATCTTGTTGTTTCTGTAATAATATGCCTCCTAGTACCCATTTCGATGCATCTGTGTGTTACGCAATCTCTTAATTAGGATCATAAATAGCTAAAATTGGTCGAGTACACAGTATCTGTTTGAGCTGTCTCAGAAAATCTTCTTGATCATTATTCCAACAAAATGTTTCGGTCTTTTTAGTAAGTGTGGTTAATGGTCTTCTTGACGAATTTCTGAGAATAACTGGCAAGTCCTGAAAACTGCCTTTAGGAACTTGAAACATCTCTTCTGCAGTTATTTTCGCTTTTCCTGGTCTGACACCCTGTGCCGATATCTTATGTCCCAAATAATCAATGGTTTGTCGAAAAAAATAACATTTAATCAGTCCAGCGTTACTAAATACTTTGATTTCTGATAAAACTCTGTATCCGTCGTCAAAGTCAACTGCCGGAATCAAGATGTCATCTATGTAGGCCAGTGCTGTATTAAATCTTAATGATCCAAGAACTAGGTTGATACTTCGCTGAAATACAGCTGGAGCATTTGCTAATCCAAATGACATTCGTCTATACCCATAATGCCCATCCGGCGTAATAAATGCTGCTTTTGCTCTGGACTCTGCAGCCATGGTATTTGGTGGTAGCCTGATGCCATATCAAGTGACGTAAAGTGCTTACTTCCTCCTAAACGTTAAAGATGATCATCTTTTCTTGGTAGCGAAAATACATCCTTAATTGTTTCAGCATTCAACGCTCGGTAGTCCACGCACATACGCATCTCACCTGTTCTTTTACCAATAAAATAGGACTCGTATATAGCGAATTTGATTCCTGAATGATATCATTGTCTAAAAGTTCTTGAACAATACCACAGACAAGCGATAAGAGCGATAAGTTACTGGTTTATCGTCTAACAAGTTTATTGATATTTCACATTCTCGTTTACAAAATTGTTCTCTTGTAAACACGGCGTTCTCCTGACGATTAATTCTTCTGCTTTGAAATCCAGCACTTTGCAGGACAAGTTCATCACTGGAAAAACGCCATTTTGCGAAGAAGTTATACACCTTGGAATACAATATTCATAAGATGAATTGAGTCTGGTTCCAAATTCGACAAAAACTTCGCCAAGTTGTTTGATTCGTTTGAAGCGATCTTCACATGACCAATGTGATTCGGCGGTATTGCTATGTCTTCCAAAACAGTCATCTTGATTTTGCTGGGTGGTATATCGTCAATTTCAGGTAATTGCATATTATCTGTGTCAAATATTCTTAATTTGTCATCCTTTAGAACCAGTGCAACGTTTTCTTGGTTAAATAAAGGCTGTCCGATCATCACTGAGACATTTTGTAGTTTATCTGGTACAATAAGTACTTGGGTTGCCATTTAATACCAAAACGCTGAGTAGGTACCACTTTGCCGTAGCGTAACAACTGCACATCCTGTATCGACTAATCCTGTGTTACCATTTACTTTGCATACCACGATATTATTAGTGTTCTTTATCTGGGATTCGCCTAAAGCCATAACGTCTTTGGAAGTTCCAGGTTTTAATTAATCTCGACAGTCCGCCTCGGTATGACCTAAACATTTATATTTTTTGCACTCAAGACATATGGTTTTCTCGAATTTTGACCAGCATGTTTAGGTGTACCAAACTTTTGTTTATCTTGGGCACATGGACGATCCACTGTACCCAAGAATGACAAATAATCTTGTTACAGATCTTCAGGCTCACTATATCTGCCCGCTTTGGCCCTGTTTGAATGACAGGATCATTAATGCCATCAATAATCATATCTACTGCGTTTCTACCAAGGACATCTTAACACAGATAGACACCGCATCTCATTATTAAACTGATGTTTGTTGTGATGACAAGACCCCCATGGGCCAGGAGATGTGAACTGCACGCAAATGAATCAGCAACTCTGGAAGTATGCTTTTTGATTTTATTTGCCCTTTCTCTTTCTTTCATAACGACCGTACGTTATTCGTACGTATCAGAAGAGCTACTAGAACCAAACAATCGTCACACAAAATTTTATAAAACTGAATCACCACCAATCTCTTAGGATAGGGCGTGTTATCCCTCCGCTGCACTGTTTCTGAAATGTTTCTTATCCAATATTCTATCGAATATCTTTTCTTCTTTTGGCTGAATCCAAATATGTATTTCGCCACTTTGTCAAGGTTGTTTTATTAAAAAGGTTCTTTCAGATACAGCTATAGATTTAATTTCTTTCCATATACATGAATACACAATATACGTTAGTTGCCAGGAGTTAGAATTATTATTAAATCAATACCTACCCACCCCTGACTGTTATTTTATTTTGACAAAAAATCAACGTCAAATCGAATTATTACATATTTTTAAATTTTACTCGGAAATAGTTTTTGTGAAGAAAATGGAGTCCACATGGTATTTATTCCCTGGTAAGTAAAAAACCCATCGAAAATAATAGCTTCATAAAAATGTGCATTTAGGTCAAACGTTGGAAAACACAAAAATCTCGGACAGAGCTCGTGCTCTGCATATGACCCAGTCGTCTTTAGACGAAATCAAAAGCCACATAAACAGACAAAAGCTACTTCAAGAAGTGGTTGATAGAGAAGCTGCTGTAAAAAAGTACTTAAAAGATGGTTCAAGAAATATGACAGAAAGTTGGCCAAATTCTTTAGAGGTACAAATTATTTTTAGTCATAAATCCATTAATCATTTGGTTCTAGAACGTACGTAAACGTAAAGAAAAAGAACGCCTAGAACTAATAGAACAGAGAAAAGAAGAACGAGAACGCAGGTTTTTTCAACTACGAAAGGAACAAGAAGAAATACGAAAGGCATATATGGAAAAAGTAAAAAAACAAATTTATATGACTACAGGACATGCCAGAGATCTGACCAGTGCTCTATTGACGTCAGAAGTACTTTTCGAGAGGCAAAAGCAGCAAGAGTTTCAGGAAAAAATTAAAATACACGAAATAGAAGAAGAGAAAATTTATGCGGAAACCCAGAAAAAATTAGCTGAAGAAGAGGCTGTAGCCAAAGAAGAAAAAAAACAGAAAATACTAGAAAAAGAAAAAAAGCATTTTGAAGAATTAAAAATAATGTAAGTTGGTATATTAAATACTAAGCTAAGAAAAACATTCATAGATTTTTGTTAGAGTTGCAGAAAAAAATACAGCCAAAAAAGCAGCAAAAGAAGAAAAAATCAAAAAGGAAGCCTTAGACAATATAGAAGCCGTAAAAGAAGAAGAAATATTCAAGAAAATTATTCTGGAAGATAAACTCCAAAGAAAAAAACAACTATTTGAAGAAAGAAAAACATATTTACGTGAGCAAAAAGAACGCGAAGCACAAACACTTAAGGAACAAAAAGAATTAGACGAAGTAATTCAAATATATACAGACACAAAACATAATATTGATTGCATGAGAAAAGCACGAGAAAAAGAACTAAGAGACAATGCCGTTAAACTAAGAGAAAAAATTGCTGCAATGGTAATGGCTGAAGAAATGGACAAATCAGCCGCTGAAGAACTAATCCTAAAGAAAGCAATAAAAGAAAAAGAAGCAGCAGAAATCGAAAAAAACAAAGCCAAGCAAGAATATGACAAGAAAATGAAAGAAGAAATAATCAAAAACCGAGAAGAAGTACTAGCTAGAGAAGAAGAACGAAAGCAAAAGGAAAACGAAATTAAAAAATGGGAATTATTGAATCGATTCAAAACAGACCAATACATGAAAATCTACGAAGACCAAAAGAAGCGTAAGCTATGGCATGACATTATAAAATACAGGCAAGAATTGTGCGAGCAAATAGAAGAAAACAAAATTCAGGCGATAACAGAAAAAATGATCGACGACGCATTATCCAGAACCTCAGTCAAAGGCGACGACGCGAAATTCTTCAAATACGCCAACGAGGTACTGGAAATGGCCAAGCGAAAAAAACGAAACACTAAACCCATTGAAAGAGTCATCACGAAGTATATCAAAGAGACAAATGTGGATCCAAACGAATTTATTGATGGCGATAAGGATTCGTTTAAAACACTAGACAATTTGATTTCCAAGAAATCACAACGAAAATCGAGACCTTGCAAGTGTGTTTATGCAAAGAAATCATAATTCATTGAATGAGTGTTTTATAGGTATTTTGTAGTCTAATGCGAAAAGTGTCACTATTTTTTTCCACTTTTCGTTAAATAAATCTTATACAGCATTATGTGTACTTAAATAGTTTTTTTCTATGACTATTGAATAATATGCTTAATATATGTACATCCATTTTCTATTGATCAATGTGAATGAATACCTACTCATACAGTGAGTTTTTTTTCATTACTTAATTGTTTTCAACCAATGAAAATATCCTGGTCCCATTACTCCACTATTTAAGAGCCAATCAGAAAATTCGTCAAGTTGACAACATACTTCAACCTTCCAATCGGTCATTTTGACAGCTGATTTGGACAAGACTTGTGCTAACTTAACTTCACTTTGTCCTCCAGCTGTCAGAATTGTTAATTAATTTTTTAACGAAAATTAAATAAAAAACCGCATAAATCATGCCTATTATCTATAATCATAGAAAAAGTATAGTATTCTACTCGTGGGTAATGGCTATTACTCACTCGGATGATTACACTACTCGCCTGCGGCTCGTAGTGCAAACTTCTTCCTTCGTGAGTAATAGTCTTTGGTAATTGCCATCATTACTCGCCCGTTGAATAATATACTATTTTTCTATGAGTATTGAATAATGCTCAATATACATCCATTTTCTATTAATCAATGTGAATGAATACTCATACAGTGAGTTTTTTTCATTACTTAATTGTTTTCAACTAATGAAAATATCCTGGTCCCATTACTCCTCTATTTAAGAGCCAATTAGAAAATTCGACAAGTTGACAACATACTTCAACCTTCCAATCGGTCATTTTGACAGCTGATTTGGATAAGACTTGTGCTAACTTAACTTCACTTTATCCTCCAGCTGTCAGAATTGTTAATTATTTTTTTAACGAAAATTAAATAATAAACCGCATAAATCGTGCCTATTATCTATAATCATAGAAAAAGTATAGTATTCTACTCGTGGGTAATGGCTATTACTCACTCGGATGATTACACTACTCGCCTGCGGCTCGTAGTGCAAACTTCTTCCTTCGTGAGTAATAGTCTTTGGTAATAGCCATCATTACCCGCTCGTTGAGTAATATACTATTTTTCTATGAGTATTGAATAATGCTTAATATACATCCATTTTCTATTAATCAATGTGAATGAATACTCATACAGTGAGCTTTTTTTCATTACTTAATTGTTTTCAACCAATGAAAATATCCTGGTCTCATTACTCCTCTATTTAAGAGCCAATCAGAAAATTCGACAAGTTGACAACATACTTCAACCTTCCAATCGGTCATTTTGACAGCTGATTTGGATAAGACTTGTGCTAACTAAATTTCACTTTATCCTCCAGCTGTCAGAATTGTTAATTAATTTTTTAACGAAAATTAAATGAAAAACTAAAAATATAGTATTCTACTCATGGGTAATGGCTATTACTCTCTCGGATGATTACACTACTCGCCTGCGGCTCGTAGTGCAAACTTCATCCTTCGTAATAGCCTTCATTACCCGCTTGTTGAATAATATACTATTATCTACTACCTGCACAATAAGTTAAGGGTCATTTACATCCACTTAACTTAACTTAACGTACGGAAAATTAATGATAAAGAAAAGTTGAAGATAATGTATTTATATGTAGTTGTTTACATCCACTTAAAAATTAGGAAAATTAACGTAACACACAGAAAAGTTGAACCAACTTCAACTTAGGGAAATCCATACGTAAATTTCAATAATAATTATGAATGACAGGCAGATTGAACTATAGTCTGTTATTATCAATGTCATTGGTGATTAACACGTAGGAAAATTAACTTCATTGATGTACAGTTGCGATCAAAAAAAAGTAGTACAAAAATTATTAACCCCAATTTGAGCTGCCGGTGTAACATACAAAATTTTAACAGGCAATGACATATTCATATATTCTAGGTTCAAAACGGGTGGAAAAATGTCAAAATAATGTCATCTGAAGCTTTCTAGGTTAAAAACTTGTCGAAAAATGCCAAAAATATGTTATTTTTGGTTATGAATTAAATTATTGTATAATAGACCAGGAGATTTTGGAGACTTTTTTTGTACTACTTTTTTTTCTGTAAACATACACCTTCTCAGTTTCGTACTATCACGGCTCTGGCTTGCGTGACAGAGGTCTTGAGTTCGTTTATTCCAAAATCAAAGTCCAGTTAACACAGCAATAATTTATTTCACGTAACTAAAACTTCTAAATACCAGCTTGCTTTATTTAGCCGTTAATCCATTCATGTACAATCTAGATTACACGCGATAACTTTCCTTTTCCCGATTAGGTAGAATTTACTAAATTATAGGAATCTGTAATTTCTAGGGTATTTGACAGCCTAGGATTCTTGACACACTGGCGGCCGTCACAGTACGTTGATTATAATTTTCTGTACCTTAAGTTAAGTTAAGCGGATGTAATGATCCTTTACTATTATGTCACTAATTTTTGCTCATTCGCATTATGTCATTGTGTGTTATATCAGCCCTATTAACGCACTATACATTTACAACTTCAAATTGAGACTTATCACAATCAAATTGAGAATAGACAAAATCGAAGTGAGACTTAGGACAATCAAATTGAGAATAATCAATTTCAAATTGGTACAACGTCCGTTTCCATCTAATGTACTAATTGGAAAATTTAATTCAACGTAGTAACATCAATAACTGCACAAGATAATAATATACTGCTCACTTTCAAAGTATTATTCCAGGGTGTTTATTCTCGATACCGGAGAACATGGTTCTCCCAAAAACGTTTACTCTGTCTTTGTCAGTGTTATGGAAATATAAATATGGGCAACTGAGACAGAACCTTCGTTCTCATGAGAGCGCTGCTCCCTTGTTTCAAGAATAAGAGCCCTGATGCTTTGATTTTAGTGATATGCTTTATGTAAAATTCCACGTTTATCCATGCTGAGATTCATACCCATATAGTGTTATGCTTTTAAACTTCTTTTGTATAATTTGATTACTGAAATTTGAATTTTGTTTATATGATTGAATAAGATATTGGTTATTCTCAATTTGCTTTTGTTTAATCTTATTTTGTAAATGTTTATTCTCATCAGTTTGATTGCGTTAAGTCTCAATTAGGGTCTCCAAACCACGTGATTTTTCAATATGGCGAGCGTGGAAAATTTGACGTTTGTTTGTTTATCTTGAGATTATTTTCAAGCTAATTACAGTTTACTTTAATATAATATACTTTTTGAGATGCAGAGTGGATATTTAAAGACTTGAATGCAGGAAAATCGGGATTTGGGCGAACGGTTAGTTTGAAAAAATGTCCAGTTGTCATTTTGACCCACAGTTTTCACAAATTTCACATTAATGAGCAAATGAAGGCCTACAAAAGCTCAGATTCTCACGAGTATTTTGAGTCTGGCTTAATTTTAGATGCAGGAACAGTGGTAGTGAAAAATTTTCACGTTTTAATTGGGAAATTTTGAAACAGAGAGCAATGAAAAAAGCCTGTCATCATCCTTGTTACCTTGTTGAAACTACTTCCACAATCAACTACAAGACACGTTTGTGGCATTTTTAATTAGAAGAAACACTAATGAAGTCAATAGAATAAAAAAATAAACAGAGTTTATCCACAAAAACAACCACAAAATGCACTTTAAAAAGCTTTAAATTCCATACTCTCATATACGGGATAATGAACTTTCACCCACAACGCACTTTTTGACAGGTCGTTGGAATGCCTATACTGTAATGAAGCTCATACCATACTAGTAATATAAATAACTATTACATAATTTTTATATAACTAAAATACAAATAAGAAGTCCAAACCGATAAACTACTACAACTCAGCAACTATATCCTCGCTTATTACTAAATATCCTTAACTGCAACAATCCCTCCGACCCTAAATTTATGTCCATTTCCATGTTTCAAATCACCAAAACAGGGATAAACGTTACACAAGCAAACACGAACTACATGGACAATGTTTACATGTCAATGTTCAACCAATGGGACGCGATAAAGACATTTCCAGTTGACCCTAAACCCCACCACTCCTAGCCACCCTTTTCGTTTTGTGCTGGAGAAAATCTCACTCAGCTATGTCACTCAGTTTACCGGGAAAATTTCTCTAAGCTGCGTCGCGACGCTTTCCGCTCTGTAAAATCGCGAGTGTAAACTATAGAACTTACAACATTTGAATTATATATTGGTAAGTAAGATTTTTTTTGTTTATAAAATGAAATGAACTAAGGTATTATCTGATTTTTTGGAGCAGATTGTAACATTTTAGAAATTTTTAGATAATGTTTAATAATGTATACCTGTAACATATACTTTAATAGTAGTTATATATTAAAAATGTATATGTATACCGATTAAATTATTCCACTTCTATAAAATCTACGACATTTGACATTTTCCGAGAGATGTTGAGATAGCATTATGGAAATCAAATATAGCTACATAAATTTAACGGTTATCGGTAACGACATATGACATTACATAAATGACGAAAATATCTATTAACTTTACAGGTAATGGTGAAGAACCATCAATGAAATTAAGATTAATCCTCTATGGAGATATCCAGTTTAAAATTAAAAATATGTTGCAAGATTGCCTTGCTATTAGCATATTAGTCCTTATGCCCTTTGACCAAACAATATACATATGCTTATATATACTCTGAAGCATCTGCACAAATAACCATTCCAGAGGCAATAATTGAAAGAACAACGATTTTTCTTTTGTGAAACTTCTGGTCGAATTCACACGAATTCTGGTACGCGAACCTCTGAAAGAAAAATGAACAGCCCTCAAATTTTCTCATATAAACCTATATAATCCAAAGATTCTCAATTTCCCCGATACTTAATGAAAACAATTTAAAAAGTCCCAGAAGGGTGTTTTTGTTATTAGCGATATGGGGCTATCAATCTTGGATTTTTCGAGATTGGAAATGTCGAGTTTCTCCACCAATAGAAATTAATTTTCTATGTCAATAATCATAATGTTTACGATATTTACGCTCAAATATCAAATAGTCTATTATATATATGGATATCCTGGAAATCTTAAACATTTTTTTCTTCTTTGGACATTTTAAAATGAGATTTTC